TGTTGGGTGAATAACCTTCAAAACGACACTTCATGGCCTGTGGGGGTGGGGACCCTCCCCCCGCTTATGCAAAACGCATCGCCCCTTTTGTATATGTCTCAACAACAATTGACGCATCACCATCTTGTTGGCATCTCGGACATACAGTAATAATTCCAGACATGTTCTCTCTGCCCAAAAATTATTTTATGAATCGTTCCTATTAATGAAGTTTATTTTCGTTTCATCCAAAGATAAAATTCTTTGGATTAATTGCAATTTAGGCCCAATTTTGTAAAGACAGGTTAAACCCACTTAGTTAAGGGTCCATATATTATACGGGCTTAGAATAATATTAGGGTAAACTACCTATTTAATCACTATCTATTACTCCGTTCTGTTTGATCACCTAATTATTAACACTTAAAAACCCTGGAAACTGTTGGACATGTGGAAAACCCTAATTCAGGCTGGTACTATTTAGGCCCCTTTCTCTTTGAAAGTGCTTTGTCTATCTTAAAAGAGAGAAGAAGAAGAAGAAGAGAGAAATGGGAAGTGATAGTGAAGCAGAGAAGTTGCAGCGGAAGGAGAAGGAGAGGAAGATGATGTTAGCTATTGCTCCCATTGCAAAGCCACTTGCTGGCAAAAAGCTCTGCAAGAAAACCCTCAAGCTCGTCCGCAAAGGTATAATCATTGTTGGGGATTTCGATTTTTTAATGGTGCAAGGTTTTGGAAAAAAAAGAATCTAAACCTCTAATGTCCCAATAAGCTTTTATCTTGAAACTTTCTTTCACTTGAAGCAAGAATCTATTCAGTGTAAATCAAAAAGATAAGTTCTTACTTACGTATTTTAAACAGATAATGACTTACTTGAGAAAAAATGGAATGAGATATAGCTCTTTTGGTTATTTTAGCCATGAACAGAGAAACCCAAAGCTGTAATAGTGGAATTTTTATAATTAATAAGATGGATTTTTGGTGGTGTGTGAATATTTAAAGAATGTATTGCTTTTTATTGATGTAGCTGCTGAGAACAAGTGTTTGAAGAGAGGAGTAAAATAAGAACGCGGCGGCGAGGCGGCGTAGGACGGTCGGTTTCTGGCCGTGTTCTTATTTTTTGAAGAACACTTGAGAGTGTTTTCAGAGATGGGAGGAGAGCTTTTGGCGTGGGAAGAGAGAAATGAAGGTTTTGTAAAAATTTTGGTTTAAATACTGAGCCCATGGATCCGAGCGGTGACCCGCGTGTCGACCCAGACCCGAGTAAGGTCCGCGTGTTTTCTAATAAAGGTGGTTAAATCTCACTTTTAGTCCCTCAATGTTATAAAAGGCTCAGTTCGACTGTAAGTCTGTTTTAGTTCAGCCTATGACTTTTGTTTTCTTTTAATTCGAGCATCTAACTCGCGTTTAAATTCAATTTAATCCCTCCGTATTAATATATATATATATATATATATATATTTGCTTGTATTATTACCCATTATTTTATTATTATTTTTTATTTATTACGTATGTGTATACATATATATATATATTATTCTATCTTATTATTTATTTATTTAATTTTATTACCTATTATTTTATTATACATTTATTACATACGTATATATATTTTATTCTACTTTCCACTCATTTATATTTATATATACATATATGTTTTTCCTCCCTATTTCCTTTTTCCCTCTAATATTTAATTATTTATTATTATTGTTACTATCAAATATACATATACTTTTATTTATTTTTTTTGTCTTACCTAGTACGTGTCACTATTTTATATTTTCTTTGTCTTAACATTTATATAGATATATGCATACTTTACCTTTAGTGTGTTTTCATGTTTCTACCCTTAGCACCTCATTATTATGTATGTTTACTATTATCCTTTTTTCTTTTCTCCATTTTTCTTTATTTGTATTTCCTCTTGTATTCGGTTAATTAATCTAACATTTTTTTAAGTGTACTTCTTCAAATAATCAAAGGTAAGTAATTTAGGATCAAATTTTACCTTTTAATTTAAACTTATATTTTTCTTAATTAAAGACAATTGAAAATTACGTAGTACCGAAAGGGCAGTTTAAGGGTGCCAACCCTTCCTTGACTGTAACCGACTCCCGAATCCGACACATATTTGGTAAGGCGCAGATCAGGTAAGAAATAAGGTATCCGGTTAACCTATTTATTTTTAAATAAATAATCGGTGGCGACTCCAACCCACTCATTTCAAGTCGAAACCCCATTTCGGGGACCAACCGAAAGACGGTTGCGACACTTTGTATATGTTTTTCCTGTTGTCCATTTTCAAACATGTTTTAGTCTGATTAATGCTTTTATTATTTACTTGGATAGATGTAAGAATAAGTTTCATGGTTTGACAAATGGTGCTGCCTTAGTATTCATGTGCAACACCTTTGTCCAACAAATATTTTTACTTAAATATGAGTATGCTGCTCCGAATATATGATGTGCGACACTCTCCGCCTAGTTCGGATAAAATAGATTATGACATAACCGAGTATGAGTAACTCATTATCTCTTTGAATGTTGATGTTCAAATTTATAAATTGCTGAGTTTCGGTTCAAAAGGGTGCTGATTTCAGCATTTATGCTACATCGAAAGAGGCTGAGCGATCACTAAGGAAATAGGAATACGGAGTTGGGGGAAGCCATAGAAATTTAAAAATTTTACTTGATCTAAATACTTTAATCACTTATTGTTCTAAGCTTGTTTGATGAAGTTTCTATTTTCTAAACAAGAACTTGATTTCAAATACTCGTTCCATGGATCAAGTAAACTATAACCTTGATTTTCTCTTTGATTGTGCTTGTAAATTATGTCCTTTATGTCATCTTCAGTATGATAAGGAAACTGCAATGAATGGACACACACACACGAATACTGCTTGTTTTGGCAGCATGACTGCTGCCAATTGATGAATAGAAGAACATTCATATCTCGATTCAATCAAAATTTCGAATTTAGGAGAAGTAGTTTAACTCCGATGGTTAATTGCAGAAGCCGTTCGGTCTGTTTTTACTTGATGCAGGTTATGTGTTATAGCCGGAAACATATCTCCTATCGATGTCATAACTGTTCCAATCCTATGTGAAGATTCTGATATTCCCTATATTTATGGTCCTTCAAAAGAAGTAAGCTTCGGACCTCCTCTGTTTTTTCCGTCTAATTTTGGTGGCATGGCATGCTTCTAAGTTGTTATACTGCTTGATTATCAGAATCCATACACCCTAATTTCCTACTTATTTGTTTTCTAACTTCAATGTTATTTATCGCACACCTTTATCATAACATGGCGTAGTCATCCTAGTTTTGCATTTCATTTTATTTCTTTATTTATTAGAGATGCATATTATATTTTGCAAACACAATGGTATAGCCATGTTCGATTTTCTCCAAGTTCAGAGAAGACTCTTGGTTGTAGTCTGTTTCGACATCCAATTCGGTCTGTACATCCTGGAATTCCAATGTTAAATATACTCAAATATACCAGCTATATGCACTCTTCGTGTACCCTGTTTGATTAGCCTCTTCTGGCATTTCAGGATCTTGCAACCGCAGGAGCGACCAAGAGACCAACATGCGTGTTTAGGTGCTAACCAAGCCGACCAAAGGTGAACTAGACCCTGCGGAACAAGAAAAGATGAAGTCCGAGTATAGCCAGATAGTCACGGATATACCAGAGCTTACATCCTCCCTTGTTTAGTAAACCCAAAACAAAAATGTTGCACTTGCGATACACTAGTTTTGTTGTTGAGATTACATCGTCTTCTTTAACTACTGTTGCTAAGTACAAATTCTGTGTTATGCGTAGATAAGATATCATGAACATGACATACAAGAATAGCAACAGATATATAACAATAGTTCAGAAGTTCAATTTATTTTCTCTATATGTACATTTTGCCATGCCAAACGACCAGAAGTGTGTTAACTCTCTAGAGTCCAGACAACAAGGAATAATAAGTCCTCTTTTAAGTTGAAAATGGAAGTGATGGTATTACTTTTGGATGTCAGGCTCCTAAACAAGATTACTCCTAAACCACCTATTGCTAGGCTAAGGATCAGTGGAGCGCCGATGGTCTCAACACTGATCATTTTGTTCGATCTATCCACTCTTCTTGGCGACATCTTTCTCCTCGGTATTCATGTAGCAAATTGCTCAGATTGTCCAACTGATGCATAATCTGGCGTTGCGCTCTCGCGATGACTAGGACCTGCATAATCATCGATGGTACCGTAAAAACCAATAATATGAAACAGTAACTTGGTATATCTTATGCTAGTAAAAGGTCAGACTTTTACGAAAAACAAAACGAAAGGTTAAGTGTGACATGAGCTTGTATGTACCTCTTCCATGAGTGGGATTCTCTAGCCAGCTGGGAAGAGATGAAGAATGAGGCAACAATGAACCAAGTGAACCATTACCCAAGCCGGACACAAAAAGAGAAGTCGGTAAAGAACCATTGCAGGCTTCGGCCTGCACAGCTAAATTTGCTGGCTGGCTGAATACTTCTTGTAGAGACTTTGGAATTTAGTTCTTCGATACTCGACGTGAACTTATCCATCCTTTCATTCAGAGTTGAAATTTGCTCCGAGAGTTGTGTAACGACTCCCTAAAACACAGGTTCGATAATGACACCACATTTCGATGCCATTCAAGATTAAGGGAATCATTTTAAGCAAACCAAACAAAAAATCAAACATTATTACCGCTATATATATATGTGTGTGTGTGTGTGTTTGTTTGTTGATTGAGAGGTTTTGGGTTTGTAAGTATATTTTGGACTCTAACTTTTATAAAGAATCTCATAAGATTTCTTTTCTTGAAGAGGAAGATAAGAGGAGGTTGCCAGGCTTTGTAACTTCAAAATTTTCCAACCAGAAAGATAAAATATTTTTGACAATGGATAAAAAAACCACATACTCACCGGATCTGCTGGAGAAGGTGACTCTGGTGCCTTCCATCAAACCTTCTACTGTTAATGGCGAGTTTTGTCAGCTTTGACAAATTCTTGTCCCTTTGGTTCGAGTACGAGTGTGAGATACTGATGCACCAATAAATGAATTTCACAGGTGATTTTTATTGCGATCAGGATAGGTGCTTTCGTAAATAAAATAGCAACAAATTATATGATCTTAAGCAGAAGATGAGGAAAACTGACACGGTTTCCCTATTGACCAGTAATTTTAAGACATGGGAAAAATGTAGCTTGAAAAAAAAAATTACCGGCTGAGATACTTCAAGGATAGGTGCTTTCGTAAATAAAATAGCAACAAATTATATTGATCTTTAAGCAGAAGATGAGGAAAACTGACACGGTTTCCCTATTGACCAGTAAATTTTAAGACATGGGAAAAATGTAGCTTGAAAGAAAAATTACCGGCTGAGATACTTCATTCTCCGATCAGCAGAGGCCCGAGAAAGGGCTTCTTTAGGACTTGAAACTGAATCATCATCAATGCTAAGTTTCGTTTTCAAATCATCTGGCAATGCCTGCGTATATTTCTCGAGTCAGCAGGATTACAAAACTCAAAAATCGACAATCAACTTGAAGAATCATACCATAACATCATTTACAAGCTTCTCCAACTGGATTTGTTCAATATAAGTACGAGGAACATATGAACCTTCCAAGCCCAGCTGCTCAGCAACATATTTAACATACAAACGATCTCGACCTTGTACCTTGTAAAAAACATAAACATTACACGTTGTGCAACAAATATTTAACAGTCCTCAGAAACAACCCAATCAACACTTTATATTGCAAGGCAGTGACAAAGTTAATTCACCATACTTCATCGAGTTATTCAGCTGAAAACTGAAAGGGTAGTGGCGGGCTCCGTCCTGTTATAGATCAGTAGTGAGTTGGGGACAAGGGATTTTGAGGGAGAAGAATTGTCCCTTTTAAAACTATAGCTACTTGTTCGATATTTTGTTGACTTGTTGCCTACGAAGAAGTAGTCCAGTTCCTGTTGGTTCTCTTTACTGCAGTGTTTTCTTCATTTACCAAACAAAGAAAAGCAATTGCACATTGCCATAAACCAAATACATAATACGACTCAGGGACAAGAATGTCATAATTAAAGACCAAACACATGTTTCAGAAAGAAAAGAGGCAAAAGATGACACGAACCGGATAAATAAAACATGACAAATGATACACATGTATTAAGGATGTGATACCTGAACGTATTTGCGATTGAGTTGCTCCAACCAATCAATCTTCACGGTCACCTTATCACCAGAAAAGACATGGCTACTTCTTTTCAGGATGGTCGCGATTGTATACCCCAAAGCCATTAGTCCTCCAAGAAGGCGTACACTAACTTCGAAAGTTATTCTCGGTGAGAACCATGAAAGTTGGTTAGAAGCCTTAAAATTTACCACCTTTCGGTCAATCTTAAAGAATATTAAGCAGAATCCTAAAAATCAGAGTTAAAAGGCAAATAAAACACCCGAATGGCACTTTCGTCTTAGGTAAGGATTTTGAGAGAGAGTCCAAAAAAAAATGATTCAAACATCTCATTACCGATATAAAGAAGAAAGCCTTTATAGACTATGCAAATGCCACTAAATCTGTTAAGATTTTTAAAATGCTTAAAATTAAAATCCAACCTCGAACATGAGATTGTATTTGCCATCCCTGTTCCTCATCCTCAGATATGACTGGCATGCTTCAGGATCTTCACCCGGGGGTAGAAGAAAAATGTCGTATGTTTCCTCTACACTTTCTTTGTATTCCTCAGATATGACTTCCTTAATTTGATCCACTGTCACTGACCTTGTTGACTAAAATGATAGAAAACACCCGGTGGTAAGGTTGAGGGAAGAAATAGTACTACAATAAGAAATATACAACCATGTACTTTGAGATAGAAATATCGGAGTTAGAGCTTGACCTTCAGAATATAAGTAGGATTCTGAAATCCAGTGAATGGATTAAACTTGTTGATGATTTTAACATGTGCTGTTTCGAGATCTGGCTCGATAAAAGCCTTATACATAGGATATACCTGCGTGAAAGAAAGTACATGATAACTACTATAACTACTCTTTGTTTTAGGGAGCATTTGATGAAAGCATTCAAGGCTATAACTATGCATGATTTCGGAGAACAGCTAAACCAGACAACTATAAAGTAAATTAGGTAAGATAAAGAAACCGTTTCAGAGATTTGATGGATAATTTCTTCAGGCTCTTGGCCAACACGTTGGATATCTCGTAAAACTCGCTTGACAAGGTCAAAGTGAACTCCCCCGTGACAGATACACGGAGATCTAGATAAGGCCGTAATTTCTCACTTAAGGCATAGATTCCTTCAATAATCACAATGCGGGAGCTAGGCACTTCAAGTGTCCTGTAATCGTAATGAATAAAACTAGATCAAGAACATGCACATTACTCATTTCCAACTGTAAACACCTTCCTTTATTTTTCTCATTTTTTTTCTTCCTAGTAGGTAGAGAAAAGAAATTAAGAGAGACATGCAACCTGTATCCTATGCGAGAGCTAGACTTGAAGTCATATATCGGAACTTGAACAGGTTTCCCAGCTTTTAAACCATGTACATTTTCAAGCAGTGTGTTGTAATCGTCAGTCGTGGGTCTGTTTCATGATACTACAGTAATGAGATCTTTGCCATGCATCCTCCTCCAGTCATTGCAATACAAAAATCTTTCTAGTAATGAAAATGGATCCCACACATTGGCGCAATGTGTGCCGCATGGTAAAGCATTAGTATTAGATATACCAAACACTCAAGTTATCTATGGTACCAGTTTCAAATGTTGACCAAAAGATCTAAAAGCTAAAGAACTGCAATTAGTATGCAGAATAAATAATAAGAATTCAGTTCCACCTGATCAAAGGCCTACATTAAGAGATGTCAAGCAACCAAATATAGTTACTGCTCAAGACGTATATTTTGGTTATCTTTAGGTCTCCTCTAGGTTTTACTTTCTAAAGATGGTCCATTTCTTATTTGGATGCACTAACCTCAACGAAAACTTTGCCTTCTGCATTCCAACTACCCAATATTTAGGACAAAATATATCACTGCATTGGAACAAATTCTATGAGTTATGTTTTACGAAGCTATAGTAACTAAATCATGAGAAATCCCATTAACTATCATTATTTGTTTTGCTTAAAGAGGTTCCAAATCAAACTATAGAACACTGATAGCTAAAAAAAGGAGCTTAAGAGCACTTATAATGCTGCATTTCATGTTCCATTTTACATAACTAGATTGACTATCTCCTTTCAATTGTGCATCCTAAATTTTATTTCAATATGAAACACAACAGTATTAGTAGATAAAAAAAACTCCTAATATAAAAGCTCCCAAAAGCTTATTGTCCTGCAAATCATCCAATGTCAGAATGCAATATCGGGTGGCAACCATTTTTATCATATATAGAAACAAAACACCATAATTAAGATGGGATGGCCTTACATAAAAGTGTTTCTAAAATGTGAAGAATTTTAGATTTTACCATCAAAGTTCCCATCAATAATTCGGCTAGCATCATTGTAGTTGTCCATGGTTATGACGGCTATGCTAGGCATAAAGTTGAGCACCTTCTCTGTGAAGACAGTCTTTCCAGCTCCAGACGGCCCAGCTACTCCAACTAAAATCAATCCATCATTCTTTTGAGCCAATAATTGGCATGCACGAATTACGATGAAGAAACCTTTCTCAAAGGACAGTTTATCTTCGATTGGAACAATCTCATAGCGATCACAGTCTTTTCTTTTAGTCAACTGCACCTGGTCTCGCAGAAGACCAGAACGCCGTCGAGGTGATTCGGCAACAGAAGTGGTATCATGAGCCATTAAAAGATTATAGTAAACTTCTTCTTTATGCAGCTACATTGAAAGATGCAACTGTCAGATATACATTTTCACAGCAATGAGGATGACATGGGATAAAATCATAAAATCATGGAGTTTTTTGAGGTGGGATCATGAAATTTTACACACAAAGGGTGAAAAATCCAGAACTCCTGAAATTTAAATATAAGATAAACATGTTGCCGAAAATTCAACAACTTTTAGGAAATATAAAGTGGTAGAAATCTAGGAGGACTAGGGAAAATACGAAAAAGACACAAGTTTGGAATATGAACAAACTGAAACGCACATGAACCAGTTATAAAATAGTGAAACCAAGGATCTTAACCAATAATACACGCCCCATATTATACAGGAATCAGCAGCTCATGTAATGGTAACATTTAAACCAGCAAAGATAAACTGAACCGTCATATTCCTTTCAAAATTCTCACACTCATAATGCATTAAAGTCTTTTTTTCTGACCAGAAAAATGTTTACCCCTTCACCAGATTTAAGACCACTAGATCCTCTTTCTTTTATGGTCTTCCATGTCCCCTCTATATCTATATAATATATTCACACAGCCTACAAACTGAAAAAAATAGGACTCAAGATTGCAGTAAAATTTAAGCGATAAATTGATGAACCACCAAACATGATAAGTTAACCGAAAGTTTTAGGCAGTTTAGGGCACTTCTTTAAGCACCACGAATCATTAATTTGTTTAAGTAATAAGCAATTATCCCAAGAAAAAGCAACTAAAAATATGATCGAAGAAGCATGGTGTTCATTCCCTTTTTGGTGCTCTTGATTGAGCTAACACAACAAACCAGTCCAAATTAAAATCTCAAAAAGACAATAAACCATCCATAAAAAAAACTTGAACTTTCAAGCTCCTATGGATTAAATCCATGAAATTTAACAGCAAACAACAAAATAAACATCAATCCAAAATACCCAAAATCCAAAACAACAAACATTAAGCAAAAGATCAACTTTAAACCAATTCCCAAGAATCACAGTTTAAAGATCATACCTTTATCTCAGTCTTTAGTGTTAAGGACTTTGCAGTCAAGCTTTAAAGACCAGGAAAAAGGATGGACTTCAAGTTACTGGGATTTTTATGCAAAAGGCGAAGAAGCGCTTAAGATTCTTGTGATTGCTAAGCAGACACAGATATATAACAGCAGATGAGTTGGTTGGATGTTATTTGCAATAAACTAAAGGAAGAAAGGAAGGCTGCTTGCTTAGCCACCTTCTAGATTTCAGACAAACATGATATGGATTTGGGAGTTGGGACAATCTCGGAATAGGTTGGTTTAACTATAATTAATTCTTATTGGGCACATAATCATAAATAATTAAATTCAAGGAAAATGACATATTCGTAGGGTTATCTATTCACATGGTAAGCTTGACACGTATGTATCGAATTTTAATGGAAGGGGGTAAATTACATCATTTCTTATTTAACTTTACTTTTTATTTTATTTTCTCCTAATTAACTCATTATACTTTTAAACTTTTAATT